GTGGAAATTGGTGAGAGATTTGGGATGGCTTATCTTTGGAAATTTTCATCACCCTTTTGTCCACAGAAGACCCCATGCTTTGAGTCTCACATTTAAAAAAAATACCATTACTAGCATCACCAACTAGCCTATTTAACCCAAAAATTGGTTTGGGTTAAATTGTCCAGCAGATTTGCTACCTTTGAATGAAAACATTTTTGTCCCAATACCAACAAAATTTTGAGCATTTTCAGTTAATTGTATTTAGATTCGGTTTAAATGTATTTTCAAGATAACTGCAAATAGAATACTGGTGTTTGAATTTGTTTTGCTTTAATACTGCATTTCTTTAACAGCTGTTCTATCTGTAGTCATGTAAGACGCTGGAGGGCACTCATCCTGTCGTGTGGGTGGGCTGCCTCATAGCCCTGTAGCTCCTTTTATGTCTTGTGTCAGGAAGGGGCCAGTCCTCCTTGTCCCTTAGACTTGGGGTTTGGTGTGCACTGAGACATTTTCTTAAAAGTTCCTTGATCCTTTACTAAACCTTAGCATTTTTTTTTCTTTCTGTGTTAGGTGCTTTTCTTTCTCTCTCTTTTTTTAACCTGTTTTACTTTTCTAGCTTTCTTCTTCCAGTTGTCCCCATCTTCAGCTGTTTCTAGTCACACCATTAGATTTCCTCAAGACATATAGAGAAGAAAGGTAGGAATGCATTTGAAGTCTCTAGTTATATATAGTTTTTCTAAATTGTTAAATACTTTTGCTGAACTTAATACTATTTTATGCCTCAATTATCTGGCCTAGTAATACAATTTTAGTCTACAAAATAAATGAAATATGATCCCAGTATAACGACAGCAACATCAACTGCCACCACCACCACTGCTTACTGGGACTCATCCTTGAGCTTGCTGGCTTTGGGCCTATTCTTTTCTTTAGTATGTGCATTTTCAGACCCATGCCTGCTCATAATGACCTCTTGAGGTTTATAACAACTTCATGAGGTTGGCATTACCATCATCTCCATTTACTAAACCAAGAGAAACTGGCACACAGAGGTTGAATAACTTTCAATGCCACTCAGCTGGTTAGTGGTAGAGTTTGGATTTGAACCAGTGTCTTGCAGACCCGAAAAAGGCTGTCCCCCCAGATTTCTAAATTAGCCCATCCACCCATCCTTTAGTGCTGAACTTAGTTTCCTCCTATTTATTCAGCTCTTTCTATTTACTTTATCCATACTTAGTTCTGCTCTCTGTGCTCCTATGGCATTCACATTATTGCCATATTTTAATACCCCCTAACACTGAGGTTTACTGCCTACTAAGTAAATCATCCTCCCAAAGTTAACTTGTCAGTGCTGTGGAAAGTGAAGTGCAGTCTGGGGTGTTTACTGTCTCAGGACAATCATTGAGTGCCTTTTGGAGCTGAATATTTGTTTGGAAAGGTAGCATTGCAAATGGCTATTTTGTGATTTCTGTTGGATGTGTTGAGAGAAGGCTGCGTTTATCAGAGGAGTGGTGCATTTTAGGTAGATTGTGTCCCTTGGCATTGATTCTCTTTTAGATCTCACTTTACATGAGAACTTGTGGCTTTCCTCTTTCTTTTAGTGGCCAGCCTTCCATGGCCCCTGTACTTATGTGCCATGATGGACATATGTGCCATGCAGTGGTTCAGAGCAAAACCAGTGGCTTTAGGTGCACGTGGGCATTTCTGCCACTTAGAAGTGGTGGTAGACCTTGGCCAATTAACCTTCAAGTTTTCTAGTTTCCCTGGGTATTAAACGGGTGTGATAGTAGTACTCTTTGTTTTTGGAGGACTAGATAAGGTAATATATAGTAGGCTAAATACAGTACTGGCAAGAAATGTTGGCTGCTGCCATTCATATCCCTCAATTGCTGTTACTATGATCACAATTTGAAATAGGAGGCTTGTGTTACTATTTTCTTAGTTTTTTTCCCTAGTCTAGGTATAGTGATTCCTTATTTCTAGATTTTAACTTTAAACACATATATAGTAAAATGGGAAGATACAGTAGAGAATCTGGCAGGGACGTGTCAAGGTGAAAAGGAGAATTTAAGGATATTTTGAAGAGATTTGCACTCTGCTAATATATAACTTTGTGGTATCAGAGTGATGTCTTAGAATTTAAGAAACGCATATTGATGTTTAATGGAATATTCGAAACTGTGTTTTTTAATTCTCTCTTCTTAGAGTGGAGAACTGTGTGTCTGCTGAAATCATTTCCAGATTCAGTGGAATTCAAATGAATTTCCAATTCAGTGCCTCTGTGTGGTTCTCTGTGGAGGAAGTTCACTCCCAGCATTAGTGACTTAGAGTGGTGCTATAACTGGTGAGTCACACAGCACTTGGCACATACTAGGCGTATGGTAAGAGTAAAAGAACGAATACAAATGAAGCAGGTAACCAAACATAGCTTTATCAGCAGTGCAAAGTCATGTAATCAGAAATGCAAGTCCTGATGTTGTAGGAAAGGTGGAAACCACAGGCTGGAGTAGTCAGGGGTTGCAAGAACATGAGCTGGCTCCTTGTTTTGCTTTCATCTACTGTTGCCTGAGATTTTAGGCTTAGACTGTTTCAAATATACTTTTGGCTACAGAGAATAGCAAGATCTGGGTCTTAAAGTATTGAAAAATAGGAGGACTATGACATAGATAATGGGTATCATTCCTTGAACTAAGGTGTACATGCCACAATTAGTTTCTTTCTCTCTTCTTGCCGCCCATGAAAGGAGCTTGATTTCCTCAGTGTCAGTAAAGGGATGAGGTTAGGGAATTATGCCCAGAGGACTTGTAGTGTATTGGCTGTGTGTGTTAAATTGCCTATGTTTTTCTAAGAGATTGCAAATAGATGTGGTAAGTGATATTAATTCATCATGTATGTTTGGAGGTGCAGGGAAGGACACAAAGATGACTGAGATAGACCCTTTACAACAAAATCAGTAACTACTTACAGAATTCTCATCTGGTAAGACAAGCAGATTGTGAAGAGAAACCTTCTGCTTCGTATTACTCTAACAAACACTTGAATGCCTTTTTTTGTGTGCATCAGTGGCCTAAAAATTAAGTTTATTCATATTTTTTTAATGTCTGTCCCTATTATGGAAATTATTTTATCATTGGTGTGAAATAAGTTGAGGTCTTGTTGAAAATATGTATTGCTGTGACCTTCCTTGAGAAAGTGCTAATATGCCTCCAGTAGTATTTAAATACTACTGATAACCTTCTCCATGACAACTTCCTGTTGCCTGTTTCTGTAAAGCCCTATTTCCTTGACCTTACTTATAGTCTTCTGGCAATTCTTAAATTTCTTAAAAAGTGGAATTGAAGGAAGGGCAGAGAAACCTGCAGTATTAGTTTTATTCAGGTTTTGGTCCTAATTTCCGTACATACTCCTCATTCAAATTGGGGTCCTTAACTAAATTCATAGCTTTAACCAGCACCCAGTTGTATTTCTTGAGCCTGAACTACTCTTCACACTGTGAACTCCTATCTCTAGCTGCCTAGTGGGAATTGTATACTGGAAATATGATAGTTTTACCTCAAACTGAATGCATCACCTTTTGTCCCAAAGTTCTTTGTTTTGTGTTTGCCCTTTGCCCAGCCACCCAGGCTACAAACCCTAGACACTGCAGGTTTATCCACCTCCTTCAGTGCCACCCACCCACCATGTAGCAAATCTTTTTAAATAATAAATATTAATTCTGCATTTTAATGATGATACTGTTGCTGGGCAGCTGCGTCTGGGGACATCTCTCCCTGCACACTAGGTGAGGCACTAGGTGAGACCTCAACCCGGGTTGGGGAGGGTTCTTGACTCTGAAAAAGAAAGAATTCTCAAACATGTCAGATGAATGTAGGTAAGGATGGACTCCATCAAAGTGAAAGTAGCAGTGAATGGCAGCAGCTTTGTAGACAGCAGAAAGCAAGGAAGAGCAGAGGCAGGAAAGGGGAGCTCACTGAACTCCTGCTCCACATGGGGCAAATCCCTTGCCAACTCCTCAAGCCAGGATCACCTGGTGCCCAGTGTCTGCTTGAATCTGCACAGCATGGGCTCTAAGCCCATGATCTGGGGGGAGCTGCAGAACCCTGGATGGAGTGAGATTATGTTCTGAGAACTTCGCAAAGGCAAAGAAAGATTTTCAGGCAGGCTACTAAAGAACATGATCGTGCAGCTGCACTTCTGTCTGGATCACACAGGTGACAGGGACTTGCTAGCCCGAATCAGCTCTCAGTAGGCCCCCCGCTACTTGTCTGAGGTAGGACAGAGGCAGAGTGAAGACTTGTGCTTAAGTCTAGAAAATAGAATGAAATAGCAAAGTAGCAAAGACACTTACCATTGTGATAGCGCAGAGACAAAATGCACTAAGTTGAGCAGTGAGAAATCTTTATTTAAGGTGAAAAGTACACACTCAAAGAAAGGGGAATGCAGGCAACCTTAGAGAAGGGGCACGCTTAAGTGTTTAGGATTCTGTCTTTTAAGGCTTTCAAGAGCAGGGCAAAGGCAGGGGGTGGGGATGCATAAGCTGGACATGTGGTCTCATGATGTCTCTTTCCAGTGAGAAACATTATGTCATCATCCATAGTCAGTTCTCTAGATAATTCTGTGAGACAAACTTAACAGAAGGAATTTATTGATCCAGTTCCTCTCCAAGATAGTGGTCACCTTCAAGCACTGGGAACATTTTAGTTAGCACTTCTTGCCCTGCCTTAAGATAGGGTAGGGTATTGGCTGAATACCAAAGACACGTTAGGAATCTTCCCTCCTAATTCCCTGGTTTTTAAAACGGAATCTTAGCCTTAAGATGGAGCCCCTCCTGTTCTTAGTATACTGTTTATATCTTGGTATTTTTAATCATAGGCAGGAAAATTTAATCATGATGCTTGTCCCATGTCCCTGCCCTACTTCAGTGCGTTTCAATTGTCTTTTCACTCCACTGCCTTTCCATTAGTATAGGCCCTCATGAATTCTTTGATGGTCTAACAAGCTGTTGTTTCCTCTTCTAGGCCTTTCTCCATATTTCTTGACACCTTCTGCAGAATAAGTGCAAACTAAACTGGTGTGAATTCAAGGATGCCTCGTAGTTTTCAAGACAAAGTTCATACAGCATAATTTAATCCCAGTGACCTCCATCTGCCTCTGATGATAATTTCAATCTCCTGAAACCTTCTCAGATAATAACTACTAACATTGATTCTGTGCTTGCTTTTTGCGGTAACTATTCTGAGCAATTTGTCAGAATTAAATGCGATTACATAGGCAACAATCCCAGGAAGGACTGAGACCCAGAATGTGAAGAAGTTGCCCAGGGCCACCCAGCTGGTGTGTCCCCTTTCTGAGTCTTACTCATCTTGCGAAGCAGTTCAAGACGAGCAGCCTTATGGTACTGGAAACAGCTCAAAGAACAGGATTGGCAAAACCTACTATCCAGTGTTCAGGTCAACCATTGGACTTACTTTGGGAGGAGTAAGTGAAATGAAAGCAAGCAGAGGTTTTTGCTTCTCTCCGCACATATTTTCCTAAAAATTAAAATTTCCAAGCTCTTTGTGCTTGGCTAAATCCATTGGATTTCAAAGGTTTATATTAAATTTCAGGATTAAAATGATTTGTGGATGGGGGTGTGTTTGACATCTAAGTTATTTCTTTTACTTGTCAAATATGGGGAAGAAAGGATTGACACATAGTAGTTATTCTGTGTTCACTTAAAAAAATATTGCTAAACAAATTATACTAAATGAAAAGTTGTTATGAAGAATTTTATTATTTAGTGCTTTTTGAATAAACCTGCCAGTTGATTAAAATGAGCCTAATTTGATGAGCATTGTATTGCATACTGAAGATAATTTAGGCTAATGTCAAGGACACTTTTATCTCTCTTTGTAGAAGGTATTGAAATAATGAGTTTAGCAAAAAGGAATCAGAAAATGTTTGAAGGTTTTCATCTCTGCCTCTGGGTGGATATTTAGAGACCACACTTTTCCTTTTCGCCTGCAAATGAAACAGAAAAGCAATTTGTAATGTTAACATTAGACATATTTTACAAAACAAGTTTATGGTGCTTTGATCTTTTGCTAATCGTGGCTTGTGGTTGTCCGAATAATGAACAGTGACTCTTTATTATGTATCTCTTATGAATCACTGAGCAGAGCTTCATTCAGACCCTTGAGTGAGTAGAAGCCGCGGACTCGACACATCTTCATTAGAACGTAAATCACAGCAAAGCTCGGGCCAGTGTTCTACTTTGCTTTTTTGGGGTCACTTTTTTCTCTTATGTTCTTTCCCCTCCCCAAAGTCTTAATGTTATGGGAAATACTGGAAAACCTGGACTGGATCATTGACGGAAGAACCAAGCGTCACTCGGAGGTCTTGGAGTGTTGAAGTTTATTTTACACGGGCAGGCTCAGAGGGGAGTAATCTCCCAAGGTCTGAGCCGTGAGCACAAGCAAGGGGAGCAATTTATATTACTTTGATACGTGGCATTTCGGCATGCGCAGGGCAAAAGAGGAGACTAGAGGAGGGGAGGAGGGAGCTGGCAGTGCTTTGCCAACCGGAGGGAAAAAGCGGTTTGCTGACCTTGACGGCTCTGTTGAATATATTCCTTATCGTTAATAAGATCATCTGAATCTTCATTCCTTTCTTCTTTTAAAGTAATTCAACTCTCTTTTATGATGATGCTTTAGATGTAAACTAAGCTATCAGTGGGGGTCTAGTTCACATGGTAGAGTAAGTAGTGGAAGGGATTACTAGCTCCCAGGTGAGTTCCCTGTACAAATGGCAAGTTGCCTTGGAAACAAGTCTGCTTGTTTGAGTGGAAATATTATCTTGTCTTTAAATGCCAGAGGTGACGATTTGCTCACCAATGTTGCATTGTCTCTGGGTCTAACATCCTGTCGTGATGTTTTCTGCTTAACTACTACTTCCTGCTACTGACTGGCTGGAGCCATAGCCAAGTTTCCTTTTCTTGTGCTTTTAATTTTACATAATTTGCAAAAATTAGAACTAAGGAAGTGATCCTTCAAATTTCTATTTTAGGATGGAAGTTTTCCACTACTGAGTGACAAAATAAATAGATCAAGTATTATATATAGTTCACTAGGTTTGACTGGCAAGAAATTTTAGTGGTGAGTCATTTGTCATTGTCTGTCATGGAATGGGTGGTGTGTCGGTTAGGGAAACCGTGTGACTAAGTCATTTGATGAAAGACGTGGGCTCGTTGTCCCTGTGCACCTGCAAGCACCTGCTGTGAGCCTCAACACAGAGCTTGTGGGCTGGACTGTCAGGAGACCGTGCTACGACTTGAGGCTTATGTCAGACTCCTGCTTTCTTCTCTTGTAAACGTTTGTGTCTTGCTGGTTGCCTGGTGGGAGCAGGATCTGGGAGTGGTGTGGGCATAAGGAGACAAGGTTTTCTGTCAGTGAAACGGGCCCTGGCTTACTTTCCCGGGCTAGCTAAGGAGGTACAAAGACTAAAAGGGGCCTACCTAACCAAGGGGCTCAAGTTCACTTCTGTGGCCTTACCGAATGGAGGCAGAATTCCAGATGCGCAAGACAGTAGGGTGGGAGCTCCCTCCTCTGAGCACTTGGTGGGCCTGCTGCTGCGTGGCCACCATTGGCCTGTGTTTCTGGACTGAGCTCTCACCTTGGCTGCTTTTCTGTCAGCAGGTAGGTCAGGATTGTGGGGAAGCTAGGACAGTAACATAGACTCGGGAGAGAAGGTGGCAACTCGTGTCTTTGTGGGACTCAGATGGGACAGATCGCTTCACTCATCCTTGCTCACTAAAGCTCAGGTGAAATTATTGGAGCTGTGGGTTTGGTAGTAGATTTTAAGCACAGTTTCGAGGAAGGCATTAGGACTGTGTGTGTGTGTGTGGGGGGATGCTTTGCTTGTCTCATGGCCTGTGATGATGATGTTGAACTTCTGATGCATAAAACTTTCTTTTAGGCATAGATTCTCCAATTCCCAGACTATGACATTTGTAAAAGTTATTACTGAGGGAGCCTGTCATTCACCATTCATTAATGCAGCTATTCCTGAACCGATAGGTGAAACATATTGCTGGCTAAGAAAAATTGTGTACAGATGAAAACACTTTGTTGTTGAATCCTATTTACACATCTTTTTTTGTGTGTGTGTGTTAAACATTCATTCATTCATTCATTCATTCATTCATT